GATAATTCAACTTTAGGCAATCCATAATGCTGCACAAATTAATACAATCAGTATGGACCGTAATGGTACCGACTATGAATTAAAGAACTCAAGGTTCAGCTGCCTGCGCGTTAATGACTTTTGAATTAAATGGGTCAAAAGAAAAATCTTCACAATACTACCTAGTTGCCATAGACGCATTGATTTTATCATAAACTTTAGTTTCATGTCCATGGTCATATACCCTTGTATCTGCTGCACTTACTTCAGCACCGTTTACATTGGAATGTACTTCAGTAACTGTAGTACTTCCTTTGTGTGTACCTGTATTCTTGTCTACGTGTGTGTTGTGGCGTAATAAATGGTTTTGTTCTTTCTTCTTAGTATTACTTTATATATTATGACTACGAAGTGTTCTGTCGCAGTTACTTCGTTAGGTTTATTATTGGTTGCTTTAGTTGCAAATTCAGTTAATTTATCTCTCATTTGCGTTGTCGGTAAAGCTGTTCTTGCTATATTCTTGTCTGTTGTTGTATCGTACGTCGATCTCTTTGTAACTGAGTCTTTATTGTTATTTCTATCTTCTTTGTGTCCAACAATCATTTCTTTCCTAACTTCTTGCACTTGTTTGTCTAGATTACTTACTCTTCTCTCTAAATCATCGTTTATGTTGACTGCTGTTGTTATGTTACTAGAACCATCTCTACGATATGTTTGTGGAGACCTGTAAATAAATATATCAATGTAAAGTATACAGGCTTCTAGAAGTAGTGGCTCAGAAAACTCATGCATGAGAGTGCGCAACTTAAATTTATCAACGGCAAGTACCAATGGAACTTTTTATGGGATAAGCTAGTAAACGAGCAGACGGATCACCTGATGGTAAGCTATCAGCGTCGCCCATAGACACTCGGAACACTAGAGGAATTACAGTAGTACGTTTCAGATTCCGATTTACCACTGATCAAGTTCAATTTAGTTTGCAACATCCTTCTAGTGTCATGGTGTTTGGTTAGCTCAGAGAATTTACATCCCCTATAGTGATAGTTTTTAACTTCTTCGTTTCAAATGTCGATACAGTCTTCGACGATGTGTTGCTGGAATTAAAATATGCTTTAAAAGATGAATAAACTGTATGTAAGTTCTGTTCTTGGTGCAATAAAATAAATAATATTTAGGAATATACAAGAAAAAAATGATTGAAAATACGTACCAGATATGTTAAACAGCAGAACACAAGCGCACACTTTCATTTTAATATAAAAACACTAACATTTTATTGTATCATAAAACTTGTTATACATTGCGCGAGCAACTATTTTTATATTTGTAATCCAATAAAATTATTACAACTATTTTATTGACAATAAACATTGGAATTGGTACTGATTTTAAACTCAATGTTGTTTCAAAGTTCCATTGGTTTCTTGACAAATGTTTTTGAAAACACTTAATTTTGAACAAATTCGTTTAGATAGTCAAAAATAAGAATGTGCAGCAATAATACAATTACAAAACTGAATATTTCCAACTTGAAACTTATAATAAGTTATAAATAATGTTGCTGCTATTTTTATTATTAGTTCTGCACTACGATTTGTCATTTTGTCAGCAGTTTTACGCAGGTTTGTCAGAGTTATATTACAATATTATCATTATTATAATAAATTGCGACTTGCTTAGAGAAAACTTCTCTAGTGCACTTTCAGTTAACCGAAGTGATTAGTTTTTCGTTAAAATGCAGTAATAATAACTCAGCAACTGAAATAACGCAATAAAAATATTTTTTCAGCGGATAATAGACAGCACGGAATAAAAATTAATAGTGTTAACTTAATGGACACAATGACACGAATAACATACCTAGCGAAAATTGTATTTGATCTAACCTCGATCCAAAACTAAAAACCACATTAATACATACACATAATGATCTTCATAAACTCCACAGCGGGACTCGACAGCAATTGGTATCAGACGAAGCAACACACACTAGACAAATACGGACAGAACATATTCTACATGAATAAAAAACATAAGAAGATCAACCACTTCAGAGTGGACGACAGTGGACCTACACACACGGACTTTTTAAACTCAATGACGGAAATATGGCTGAATACCACTCCAAGAATAGAGCAGATTAATCAAGTTGGCGTTACAAGTTCTGAAGATGGGTTCTTTTCGATGAAACCTACTACAGGAGCTTTACAGTTCCCATTCCCTGCTGTTACTGGAACAGAAAAGAACCCTTACCTTCAACTTCACCCTGATACTGCAGAAGCACTTCCACATCTTCCACATCCTAGTTTAGATCCCCCTCTTCAATCTCCAGCAACAACACTACAGCCAGAATATACTCCTTCTCCAACTAGACCGACGCCACAAGATCCCTCTTTCAATTCTCCTGCTCAAATTCCAAGATCTTCAACTGATCCAGGTTATAATCCATTAGAAACTGAGGGTATTACTCCTGAAGCAGTAGTTTATAAACTGTACCAGACTCACCCATCAGATGTCAATATTGTGATGGAAGAGATGGCTAAATATCAGACTCCTACTAATTATATTCCACCAACTGTAACTAACAACCTTGATTTCACTGGTGAGTCATCAGTTTGACATCATCATCATTACTTTCGTGAGACATACTGAATTAATTATTGTATATTCGGCTTACCCACGCAACTGTTTGACGAGAAACTCACCAAATTTTTATTTCGGGTTTGGGTATCATGTGTATGTGAACTTAAATCTTCTTGATTCCAGTTCAAAACCTGGATAGTAAAAATGTGTCCTTTTCCAAGACGATGTCAGGTCACATGCATTCCCTGACACTTTAGGCAATGCATCTGAAATGTGGGCAAATTGCCTAATTTGCACCAGTTACCTACATTAAGAGTCATGCAATACTATCACTTCCAAATTCCTTGCTGTTATAGACAATTTCGATAAACTTACTAATATTTTCCTTCTATAACTACAAGCAATAATCAAATAACTGATCATACCTCTACTCCACAACAGAAACATTTATACCATTTGATAAAACACTGACGAAAGACCACCAAACCCTGGAAGACAGAACTAAACCGAAACAAATTGAAAGACAAGGCCAAACTACTTTAGATCCAGTCATCTCATCAGTTCAAGACAAAATACTAGACGACTATCACGCAGATACTGCTACGTTAAACACGAATGAGAAGAAAGAACAGGCTGTGGAAGATATAGAAAACGATCCTAATATACCCAGGGAAGGAGACAGTAATAAACCAGACGACATAACAATGACAAACCAAGAGACTTTGGTCAAAGAATCAGATTTCAAACCTGATAACAACAACGAATTGATCCGAGAACTGAAAGAGAGTATGAACTTAAAAGGCATAGATGTAATTATTGAACCTGACAGAGTAGTAATGTCTGATAAAATAGACAATACAATGAAAGAACTTAAACATGAAGAGGATAGAGATAAAATAAAATATAGTCCAATGGACGATCATACAGAAGTAAATGTGACAGCTAAGGTACGTGAAGTCACTACGACAAGAATGGCTAATGTAGCGGATGAGGGTAAAACAATTAAATTCAGTAACAAGACTGATGAAACGTTTATAATGGATGACATTGATGATGAACATAAAGATAAACTTGATGAAATACTAAGGATGGTAACACAAAACACTCAAATGGCACGGACTACAGAGGTTTATAGAATTCCGATGAAACCCACAGAAGTAGATGCAACGAAATCCATGTTGTACAAAATATTCAATTATTACTTAAAAGAAACAAGAGCCCATAGAAAAGTAACGACATCCATAAAGTCAACATTCAGAAAGGACAAACTCTTAACGCATAAAAAGATGAATTTAAAGAAAATTATAAAGAAGCCAATCGTAGCAAGAGAAGTATACACGACAAAGCATAAAAAGCTCCACCCCAACAAACTTATAAAAGAAACTACCAATGTACGAGAAGTAGAAACGACAACACACAAAGATGAAAACGATGAAGAAGAGGAAACAAGCTCTTTAACTACATCAGTACAAGTGAATATAAAACGTTAGTAATATTAGTATACAGTTTTTAGTATTAAATATTTTTTTCTACTTTTGGTGTCATATTTAGACTCGTCATTCAACCTAGCAGCTCATCATCATCTTCATCAGCCTATAAATGTGCACTGCTGACCAAACGCCTCTTTTCATACGGAGAAGGTTTGAGAATCAATCAACACGCTTGCTTGCTTGAAATTGCTTACGTGCACTAGCAGGTAAGCAATTACAAACCTATAATTATTCCAATGTTTCGCCGTTTGTCAGTGGTGTCTTAATGATCTTAGAAAGTACACAATATTATTAAGTACACATCCTCCTTTAGTCTATCTTCAATGTTAAAAAATAATAATAAATACGTTCAACTGTTATCCAGGTATGCCACAAACTACAACCACGATGCTGCCATACTTCCAAATGATTGTTGATCTGGATGAAGGGTACATGGTGGTGTTCCTCATCGAGCTGATGAGGATCATGGCGTCTAAAGATAAGGATGATCTATTTGAAGTCCTCGTTCATACTGAACAGATCGTGCTGCAGTGAGTGTCACATAATACCATCTGACATGCAAGTTGAAAGTTGATAATTTGAACCTTATTCGTTTGTGTTTCAGACTTCATGAAAATGGAAAAATTAACTGGTTCGGTCAGCCTCTCTTAGGCATCACAATGAAACTGGCAAAATTCATGACTGAATCTGAAACAGGAGTGATACAAAGTAAGTAATTCTAATGTAATCAGCTCGTGTAGTGAATTGTCCAATCACCTGATGGTAGCGAGATTGACTTGTCAATGACACACGTACTTAGGTATCGTCATGAGCTAATGTTCACATGTAAACTACGCTGATTCTAATAATGTTCTTACAGAATACGCTTTGACATTGAATAAAAAGATAAGTGCACGTCACCAAGAGCTATCTTCTGAAGTCAACACCATCATAGACTATTCTGATATGTTGTATGATGATGAAGAAGGCACGAAGCTCTTCAATGTGCTCAAAGATTTTGATGACTATCCTAACAGTATGTATTTGTGCGATGTAGATTTGTACATAGCGCCATCTATTAGTTGGTTCTCGAACTTCTTATAGTAAGTGTAACAGACTGTTAATCTGAATTTGTATTTATTTTTCATATTTCAGTTTTACAACCAGGGTACTCAGTATGTTTAGCATTAATAGAGAGCTTCCTAAAACCATATCGTCGGCTCAGTAATACAAAGCTGCGCCAACGATTGTTAGACTCTATTAACTTTGAGCTAAGAGCTATAATACCTGAAGCCGACTTATCGGAGGGGAGTGCTTTGGGATTTTTAGGTATAAAAGAAGGTACGTATAATATGTATCTAACAGTCATAATTATTCGTTAACTTGGAATTGCGTACCTTTACGTCGGTCAAAGAAATATTGGATTCTTTAGATTTTTAAAATTCTGAACTATAGGTCAAAAATTCTATCTGAATAGTGGCGCAAGTCTCCTTCAGCATCCTAAAACCGATATTTGGGCCATAGACGACCTTGTTCATGCGGCGAATTGTGCAGATTCCCATGTAACTCGCTTTATTGTCGACAACCGTAGCTTTGTAAAACAAAATGACGTCATACATCTTCTCTTTCACAGCACCAGAACGAAGGCCGCCAGTGGTATCAGGCAACTACAATACAGTCCCATTCTCAAGGAAAAAACAAAAGAAATTTAGACACAAACTACAAAAGCTGAAGTCGAAACCAAAACATCAGACAAATAAACGAAAACACACAAAATTCCGGCCAGATTACAGCAATGAAAACATTTTTAGACGTAGATTAAGTTATACACCTGAAACTCAGTACAATTATCCATTGTTAAGAAATATGAAGCCGATCACAAGTATACAGAGACGGTACAAAATTATTACTCCGACACATCGACACATGTTAAGGCACAGGTCTACACGTAGTTATATAGTAAACCTAATCAGTAGACCCACCAAGGAGCTCACAACTAAACTAAATAAAGCTAAGAATCAAGCGAATACTAGATTCCCTTTCCTCCATGGACAGTACGATTTCGAACGCATTTGAGGCACAGAGTAATGTGATTAACAATCAGAGAAATAAAACGTATTAAATTTATATAATCATATGAGGGATGGAATCAAGCAGATAGCAGCTGCAAGAAAGACTGAAAGACTTAAGACGATTCGCAATTAAATTAATAAGACTAACGATAACAATGTATAAGGTGACCAGAAAACTAGCGTAAATAACGCATGCGTTGTGTTATTATCCAAGTGAGTGAGATTACCGGAGCCCGGGGTCCGATTCCTCCCCTACTCAACTTCCACAATCCTCGAATCACTAACCCTCAAAAGGCCGGCAACCCAACGCATCTCCTTAGACCAACACTGAAGAATCGGACCAAAGGCCGTCTATGGGCGGCGCCAATTGCTTACCATCAGGAGATACGTATAATCATATAACGACTTATAAAAGAAATGTTGTACTGTATTAGACTAACATTAATATTATCATTCAGTAGGCATTTTGTAATAAAATATGTGTATTTTTATTATTGGTTTTATTTCATAAAAATATATTCATACTAGTATAGTATAATACACACGGAATATAGAATACAATGGAAGTAGCAAGTAGGCGTGGCACGCGTGCCACAACTGAGCCGTGTACTGCGTACTCGAGGCAAATTCGAGTTCAGTCTCGTTCGAATATGGCGTCGAGTTTCTAGTCTCGTGACAAATACATATTTCCTCAATTATGCCGTTTTGTTCCGTTTTGGCGTGTAAAATTGATAGCAGCCGAAAAATCGTAAAAATAGAGGTGTTTCGTATCATCGGTAAGTACAATTTTCATTGTTTTCATGTACAAATCTTATTTTATTTCAATTTACAAAAACGGTTATTAAAATAATATTATTTACTAAAACGGTTAGTCAAAATCAACCTTACGCCTTCAAGATAAAGTTTATTTTGGATTTATTCCATTCAATAGAACATTCTCGCCAGTTCTACGCTACTCAAATAGTGATGTAGTCAAATCACATATTGAATTTATCGATTGATATCGATGCAAGTGTAATGTAACATTTATTTAACTCGTCGAGTACCGGTTTTATAGACACAATTAAAGAACAATAGGTCGCGGTCACCGGTGACCGCTTGGTGTTTGACAGATTAGATTATTTTTTTATTATTATTTTAGTGGTGACCCCGACGTGATTGGAAGCAACCTTCACTTCACGGAGCAGATCAGCACCGTCATCCTTATCGCCATCCCTCTCATTTATCACATTATCCATATAAAGTTTGTAATTTATGTAATAGTTGTTACATATATTGCCTATGTGAAATAAAAAAATGATTTTTTGAAAAAAGAAACTAATAAAAAATACGAACAAAATGATTTATAATTTACATGCAAATAAATACTTACCCTTTTTTGTTAAGTTTAAAAAGTTATCAACGACATATTAATTTTATTATTTTACTATCGCAGTCACACTATCGCAGTCAATATTTTTTTTCACATTATTTTTAAAACACATTTTCATATTATCGATATTATTTTTATCGAATTAGGCTACATCACTATCTGAGTAGAGACCCGCATTCGAGCCAGTGATAAGCCATTCAAATATCACCTTTATTCTTATGACGTTAAAGTTCAAACCAAGTACCACTTTTCGTCGCTAGATGGCATTGTTAAACGCCATCAAGCGACGAATGGCGGTACTTGGTAGTCCAAAACATACTTTTTTATTTTGATTTATAGTGCATTGATTTTAAAGTTGCATATCGTATGATATTTTTTTTGCATTTCGTTTACGCCCATTTTTTTTCTAACCAATCGTAACTTCCGATTTATAGTATGAGTAAATTATAAATGTATTAGTTTGGCGACACCGGTTCTGGCAGAAATATTGTTTCAAGCTACTTCCATTGTATTCTATATTCCGTGATAATACACAACTTGAAGTTAACTTCTCTCAACGACTTAAGTGTAATCTAAGTAATAAATTTTTATTTGAAGCAAACATCCATTTATAGTCACAAACTTTCGCATTTATAATGTTAGTAGGACACAGAGCTTCTAGCAGGAATTGTCACCGTCTTCTCAAATCATCCATTTAACTATAGGTGTCACTTGGTAGGGATACGTCTGAGTCTGCGAAAACATAAAAATATTGTTTAGTAATATTGTCCAATATTATGTCATATCCAACAGCCATGATATTCTAATTCAGGGTTATGAGAAGGAAATAGAAGAGGCTGGATTATGGGTCCCCTCTCAATTAGAGGGTTCCATATAACTTAAACACTTGGCACAAATCGTAACCTCAAAGGTTCAGGTTTATTAGAGACCCGGAGCTGCGGACGACCTAAGGTTACCGCGGAAGGAACGGAATGGTGTTCAGTCAGTAGGAGTCTATACTTCCTCTCGCCTCACCCAAGGCGGGAGGAGTCATCGGATGATCTCCCCCCGGATAAATGTGTTCATATTTATAATTTTTATCTCTGCCAAAATTTTAATAATTCGTCAATAAACTACGTTTAAAAAACTGACTTCAATCCGATCTTGTTTTGAAGTCGGTTGATTAATATACTAATACCTTGTCCTAAGTGTGTCAAACACTTTTCTGAAACCCGCATCAAAATTGGTTCTGACAATCGCGAGATAATCGCGCACAAACCTACATACAGATCAAACTGAGAACTCCTTTTTTAAAGTCGGTTAAATAAAGAACACAATGTTAATTTTGTTTAAATACCTGAGTTTCTACTGGGCGTACGTTGGTCATTTTCTTCATTTAAAATATAAGCATAAGATTTTAAAGGTTCCATCTTGTCGTAGTCTTCATCGGCTTGTGCTTTGACAATCATATTTTGTAATTTTTCCTTAATAGCCTCAATTTCATTTGTCGATACATCCTCGTCATCTTCATCCGGTGGTTCTTTTAATTCAAATTTACTTTTTTCTTCTGCTTTTTTGACTACTTTTTTGATTTCCTTACTATTGGATAGAAAGTATGTATCTGATCCTGCTGTTTCATCCTTACTGACATCGAAATCATTGAAATCTGCGTCTTTGTTTGTATTCCTATCTAGATCAATTGCACTTTCTTTTTGATTTCCATAAGATGAAGCAAATATTAGATTTTTGTAATTTCTAGTCGTTTTTTTATCTTCATTATTATATTTGATTTTGTATCCATTTCTTTTGTTTGCTTCTAACACATAATTGTTAATGACTGGTGTTATATCTCCAACATACTTTGACGTTCTTTTAAATGATTCAATATTATCGAGTCGAGAAGAGAAATGTTTTATGATGTCATCAACTTCTTTTTTCTTCTTATTCTTTCTTTTTCTTTTGTATTGGTTGCGTTTGTGTAATTCTTTGATATAATGTGATTTTGGTTTCTTTGTGGTTGTTTGTGCTGTGGATTATAAGAAGTTTACAATATGTGTCTTTTGATTATTATGATGGCGTGTGGCCACTATCTCGCCTGATGATACGCGATGATGGGACTTGCCTACCACGCAATCTATTCACTCAGGGCTTGAAGACAACCAGAGAAATACAGACTGTGGCAAAGAATTCTAGTCATTAGAGGTTTGCACAAGAAAACTTGGAGTGGAACGCTGCGTTTGATTGGGTGGAACATCTACCAATAACAAAAGGAAATATTTTGGAAGTTAAAACTAAGTAAGGTTTCAAGTGTTGTGAAAATGTCTATACTTAAACATATCGAAAATGTCTATACTTAAACATATCGATATATCGATACACAAATAAGTTTCATTTCATTTCATTTCTTGTGAGAAGTATTATTAAAAGGCAAAGTAATTAATTTATCTAAACTTACGTTCAATATTTAGAAGTTCACCAAGAATTTTAGTCCGTAAAGGGAATCTAATCTTTAAGGCGTAGTTGATAGAGTCGACAAGCGTTTGTCTGCGTTCTGAACGACTAAGTCTTCTGTATGGTCTTATGAAACTGTCGAGTATACATACACACACCTCTTTTGCATTCTTTGAACCTGAAATTTATTAATTATTAGTATACTAAGTTGACCATAAAGTAATAACAAAAAATATGTTAAACGGGTTCAATGACCTCCATTCTACCAATCAAGTCCTTTCGATTGATATCAATAATGGAGGTAGTTGTTGAAATAATTAGATTATATTGTATCTTCATCAGGATGAACAGTGTGTACGAAATATCTGATCGATCGTTTCTCAGGAAGGGGGTAAAAATCTAATTATTAAAGACCCAAACAAACAAACGGGACAAGCTGAATAAAACCGTTTAAGGCATAGTTCATACCAAACGTATTGTCGGCCGCTGACAATGAGCGCGTGTTATAGTTTATCACTATTCCATTATTCACACCTTACCGACTATACTCTGTTACGTAGTGCGATGTCGACAGTGAGCGTACTCACAGTCGGTGGCGGACAATACGTTCAGTGTGGACGATGGTTAACAAAGACAATACGTTCATATTATTATGCTACGTTACGAGACGTCATGTCAAACTTACCTTTAGGATATGTTTCATATTCTGTTACAGCGTCAAAGAGTTCACCTCCCTCGTCTTCATTGTACAGCAAATCAGCATAGTCTATGATGGAGTTCACGTCTACTGATACAGCAGTCTTCCTGACTTGCAGCATGTGGTACATCATTGATGAGTAGCCTGGGAAGATTATAATTCTGAAGGTGATTCAGAGGTCAATTTAACCTAGAGAGCGCCCTAAGCAAGCACCTCATTGACGTCCCTAATTTATTTCGCCGCCGCCACTCTATGGGCAGTTGGGCACGCGCGTCTCGCGGCGCCCCTAGACACTTGCATAGTTTGCCTTAGCGCTATATTTCACCCACCAGGACATCATGGCAGCGCAATCAGTCGCGCCATCGTTTTGTCTGTAAACTACCAATCTAGACAGCATACAGACACCAGAGTCGCCACACCACACTGCGACGGTAACAGACTCTAATGCTCCCGCCTGAGCTGGTCACACCATGTGTCTAACTTTCTATAGAGCTGTATACATTTTGTTGGTAGCGGTGACTGTTGCGTCGCTATGGTTCTCGATGAAATATAGCCCTAGGGATAACGCTGATCTGGTCCTAGCATTTACAACTGCGGACAAGCGGCTCGAAAGAGTCTGACACTCCCTCTCGT